CCCTCTCCCCTCATGGCCCCTCTACTCTCACAGCCCTGTGCTCTCATGGCCCCTCTCCCCTCACAGCCCTGCAGCCCATCATGAAGGGGCAGGGGCCAGCTCCCCACAGACATTCCGCCAGAGACCGGCACCACTCCCATGTTCTCCAGGCTGGGGTCTCACAAGCTTGGGAGCTGGACAGGGAACCCCCACAGGCAGCAGGACCCTGTCCCTCTGCTCTCAGCCACGCTGGAGCTGCCTGCCCCTGCCTGAAAAATTTCTTAGGGATGGGGATAATGAATAGATAATGAAGGCTGCAACCCAATTAATGGCTGAAGAACTTCCAACCCTTCTGCACTGGGCTTCGTGACTTGCTACCCCACCTCTTCCCCAAGAGCTGGGCTGGGGTGGCTGACCTCAAAGGCAATGTCCCTAGAAACATGCAGAGGAGTTTGCTCCTGTGAGCACAGAGGATATGTGGGTCAATTCTTGCTCCCCCAGACCAGAGGCTGTATGAGATTTATCTGGGGGTTACAGGAAAGCTGGGAGCAAGAGCACCAGACACCAGCCTAGAAAACATCCATTGGCAATGCAGCCATTCTCTGAACAAGGGGATTTTTTTTTTTGACAGAAGAAATTCCTCCCAGGCTTTTCTATGCCAACCTTTACCAAGCTCTCCAGTTGTGACTTGATTCCTTCTGCTGCATGAGCTACTGGGAGATAATCACTCTTATTTTCATGTCCCATGTTAATGAAGCACACTCCCATGAGTGTCTTCAGTAAATGAACAGCATTTTGTCCAGAGACACAATGGAAATTACAGGCCTTGAGTGGCCTGAGCTCTGCTCCTGCCACTGCAAAGCTTTGCCTACAGCCCAGGGCTTGGTTTGTTTTTTCCACCAGCAACCCTCCCTCGAGGGGCTGTGGCGAAGCACACATTTGACTGCACGCTGCTGTGCAAGCCACCCCTCAGGCTGAGACAAAATCAGCAGTAAATAATTTTGCAATCAAAGGTCATAGTGGCTCAGACCTTTGAATACAGCTGCTCTTGTTGAAAGTTAACCACAAGGTGGTCCAAGATAAGCGAGAGGGAGGTTTAGGGAAGCAGCGTGGCATGGACAGCAGGGACAGGATGGTAGGAAATTCTGTGCACACACCTGCATCCAGCCCTGGGATGCAGGAGGGCTCTGGCAGGGGTGAAGCGAGTGCAGTGGGGAAGGGGGTGTGTGGACAGCCCTGAGCAGGGCAGGCTGGGGAAGCTGGGCCACGAGACAGAGCAGCACGGCTGGATGAGTGGGAGGCATCAAGGAAGAGCAGGCAATCCAAACCCAATCCAAACCAACAGCCGTCACACACACTGGCAGAGTCCTGGAAATGAGCTCTGGGAGTGAAAACAAGAGGAGAAAGGCAGTGTCTTCAGCTGGCATTTAATAGGAATCTGGCTTTGAAATTAGTAATTTGCAGATGTAGAGAAGGCACATAAATTTGAAGACAGTCCTCCAAGATCAGTTCAATTTTCTGTGAATAATTGTTAAAAAAAATAAAGAGAAGATGATTACAGTTTCTCAGAGCAGCCCATATATGCTAATCACCTTGCAGCCAATATGCTAATGACAACAGAGGAACACTGCCTGTTATCTTGAAACACGGCAGATGCTGTCACACCACCCAAGGCTGTTCCTGTTGCAATGAACCGTGTGGAGAAGCAGAACAGGAATGAGTGGGCAGGAGAAGTGCAGCACCATCGGTGAGACTCTGCCACTGCCCACTGGTCACTTGAAACAGAAGCCATATTTCAGCGGGTCCTCCTCTTCGACAGTGAAGGTGGCTGTACCAATGTAAAAGGCTTCTCCGGAGACTTCCACAACAACAGCATTGTAGTCTCCAAACTTGGCTTCCTGCAGAGGTATTGGGATCAGGACAGAGGCGATAGGATGTTCTCTGCTCTCCCAACCCCACAAAAGCACCTACCCAGCACTTAGGCACAGTCACCCCTCACTGAGCTCTCTGCCCTCTGCCCAGTCACATCCCAAAGCATCAGCAGCCTTCTTACCAGCTCACCTCACCTGCACAAGCTCCACACCTGCACAACTGCTGCTGCCCCCACTCTGAGCTCATGAGTCCCCACACTGCCACAGCTTGGGTTTGCCTCAAAGGAGGCCAACAAGCTACCAAGGTGGCCACTCGCACCCAGGGACTGAGAGCTCCCTGGGGCATGTCCAAACCTTCACACCCACTTGCTGCCAGATGCCATTGGGCCAGGGCTGGGCCTGAAAATCTGGACGTGCAGAACGTGTTCAGCCTTTCAGCAGGGAATCATGGAATTGTAGGGTGGTTTGGGTTGGAAGGGACCTTTCAAGGCCATCTAGTCCAACCCCCCTGCAGTGAACAGGGACATCTTCAACTACATCAGGTTGCTCAGAGCCCTGTCCAACCTGACCTTGAATGTTTCCAGGGATGGGGCTTCTACCACCTCTCTGGGCCACGGTTTCACCACTCTCATTGTAAATAACGTCTCCCCTGTACCTAGCCTGAATCTACCCTCCTTTAGTTTAAAGCAATTTCCCCCCATCCTATCACTTTTTATAAGCCCCCTTTAAACATTGAAAGGCTGCAGTAAGGTCTCCCTGGAGCCTTCTCCAGGTTGAAGACCTCAACTCTCTCAGCCTGTCCTCACAGCAGAGCTGTTCCATCCCTCTGATTATTTTTGTGGCCTCCTCTGGACCCGCTTCAACAGGTCCACATCTTTCCTGTGCTGAGGACTCCAGAGCTGGACACAGGACTCCAGGTGGAGTCTCACCAGATCAGAGTAGGGGGGCACAGGAAGAGGGAACTAAACCAGGAATCCGCCCTTAGCTGCCATGAGAACAGACCAGACTGGTTTATCTACATCAGCATCAGAGATACTTCTCACCCCAGTACTTTCCCGATGCCTGAGAGAGGATTTGCAGGGAAGCCACGCAGCAGAAAAAGGTCTTACTGTTACTTCCTTCCCTAATAAAAAACCCTGAAGTGTGAGGCTTGTGGGAAGGCAAGACCCCCAGCGCTACTCCACTGAGTCAAGGCAACAGCATTTTTCCAGCAGTCCTCAAGTTAGAGGAGAAACTCCAGGACCAGCCACTTGCCTGCACAGCCTTCCCGGTGAACAAGGAGCCCGTGGTACTGCTCCGAAAGGTTCTGCTCTGGTTCAGCTGGATGAGTCCCTTATGGTACTGCAAGGCGATGCGAGCTGTCACACCTGAACCTGTTGGACTTCGGTCAACCTACATTCAGAAAAGAACATGAACCTGCTCTAATATATATATATATATTAATAGAAAACAATATTGCTCCCCTTAGTTCTCTCTGCCACCTTTATACTGCACTTAGGGGAAATCTGCCCAGCCCAGGGGTTTTACAGAATCTGGGTACAACACAAATGAGAAGACAAAATAAAAAGGTTTGGAGTACTTTGGGATTGTAACCAGCTTTGGCAAACGAGTAGGAATGAGTGATTCATAAATACTGAGGTTATTTAGGGAGTGCTTGAAAGCTCCGCAGCATCATAGCAAAAGGACCGAAGGAGGCAGAAGCGACATTCCCCATTCTCATGTGTCAGGCTAAGATCAGTTCTCCTCAACACCAACTGAGAGAGCTGCTGGCCAGCCTGGTCTTTACAACCTCCTAAAAACAGCTTCCGAGGTGACCTGCCCCACTGCTCCACACTCCTCCCTGCTGGGAAGTCCAACTAAAACTTTCCCTGCTATTTACACGATACTTTATCCATTGCAGACAGGGATAAAAGTTTACACCCCCTCTTTTCTCTCTGGCTGCTGATCCCCAGCAGCTGTTCCTTAGATTAGGACTCTGAGGACACATGGGACATGGATCTGAACCTTTTCAAAATGCCACCATCTAAGATGTGCAGAAGTATTCCTGTCACTAGGAACTAAACCAGCACGTGTTAAGTGACACTCAGCTCTTCAGAGACATCTGTGTAGCAGAAGCAATGATCACTGCCCAAAACGAGAAGAAACAGAACAGTCTCTTGTCTCTGCAGTGGAT